GGGGGGGGGGCATTTTTTTTTTTTTGCATGGGGTGTGTGTCCCCCCCACTTAAATTACAACCAGGCCTAAAGCCTCTGGTATGAATTTGGGGGAGGGGGCTGCGCCATATTTTTTTTTGGCATGGGTTCCTCCCTAACATTCATGGGGAGGGGAGCATATGTTTTGTTTTGTATTTTCACATACAACAACATAACTCCATCCAAATAGATTCGAGATGATCCGAACCCAAAAATTTGGATCAATCTGAATAATGAACTGAATCAAATTTGAATCCGAAAATTTAAAAAAACGACGAAACGATCCAAAATTAATTTCTTGAGCTTTTACATGTCTAATATACAACTTAATGATTTTGCTCAGAATAAAATATTAGCAGGCATTCCCTGAGATCGGAATATTATTTTGGGTGTTCCTTGGGGGGTAGCTTGAGAAATGCTGATTTACAGACTAGTGCTTGAGAGACACTGTTCTAGAGTACTGACAACCTTTTGACTTGATGTTAACAGAATTTACTCTGTGCTTGTGTAAATGCTGCTATAATGGATGTTTGCTGAATGATTTTGATCTACAGTCCAAAACATCTGGACTAAACAGGGTGATATCCACTTAATCAGTGCATTCAAATGTCTTTTGTGTAAGTGATCATTTATACATTCATTAAAACACTTACACTATCATTAAATGCATTCTGATCTGTCTGATCTTTAAGTGTTTGGGCTGACATCTGGATGATAGTCCTTTGGATGTGTATATAAAAATATCTTCAATTACAGATAATCAAAGCTAAAGCCTTATTCATCCAAAGCTTCTGTCAATAATAGACTCTCTTGAAAGAATCTAGCACTTCTGGTCAAGTGTGTGTAAAATTCAAGCTACATGCAGTTGCCCAAGTGTCTGTTGATCTGTATAATACATTTGTGCATATGTAAAAGAATGTACTCTTTGACTTCTTATGTCCTCGCATATTAAAGAATAACTAGAGTTTTAGGTTTAAAATCACAAATTGCATGTTCCTCCTATGTTTGCATGGGTTTTCTCCAGACAATCTTGTTTCCTCCCACACATCAAAAACAAGCTCGGTAGGATAATTGGCTCCTGCCTAAATCAGACCTAGTATGTGTGTGCATGTATTTGTATACATGTATGTTTGATAAGGACCTTAGATTGTAAGCTCCCTGAGGGCAGAGGCTCATGTAAAAGTACAGTATGTAAGGCGCTGCATACATTTGATGACGCTTTATAATTCCCTGTACTAAATACAAAAAATAAATTATTCTCCCAGGTTCTGCAGCAATAAAGTATAAATAATGTGTTACCTTTAGGCCCCGTTCACATATAGCGACATACCTTTTGCAGCGGATCCGCACGGCCGGGATAGAGCGACTTTCGGGGCGACGTTCCAGCGACGATCCAGCGACGGTAGCGCGACCTTCCCCGTCGGGCTCCATAGAAAAAAAGTAAAATCGCGCAAAATCCGCCGAAAAAAGGGTCCGGTAGAAGCGACTTGCGACCGCGACGAGCGACATGGAGTTAAGACAGCTCCATTGAATAACATTGGCCGGCGACTTCTCGCGATATCGCGCGGCAAAAATGCGCGATATCGCGGCGGAAATTGCGCGACAATTCGCTATATGTGAACGGGGCCTTACTGGACAGAAAGCTCTGTTGGCCTGCCAGGATACAGCACAGTGTATATTGTTTCTGGCCTGGTATGTAGTTATAAAGAGGCATGAGCAAGAGCAGAGGCAGGGTTTGTAGTTGGCAAATATTTTTACTCTATGAGCCAGTCTCCTAAAAACCGCACCTCCTTCTTCATATTCTGTTCATTATAACTTACTACAAGTAGTAAAGCAAGTAGGCCTGGGAAATAAGAACAACTGTGCATTTAAGACACAGCCCATGCAATTTACTACATTGCCAGAGTTAAAAATGCAACCTACAAGCTCAATATTTATTTTAAAAGGAAACTCCACCTTTGTTAAAATATCCAATATTTATAACACAAGCATTTTTTACCTCGTAAAGTCTTTTTCTTCAGGTCAACTGAGGAACTCTTAGACTGCAGGGTTATACTTCCACCTACAAAACAAATACTGGCAACAAAAAAGCTGTTGGCCAGCATAGCATAACCAACATGCCTTAGTTTTGTAGCAAAATGATACAGAGAGCAAGAAATAAACACAGCGGGTGACCCGTGTCCCCCCAATGTTACTGTGAGTACAAAAATTATATTATCTTCCTGTGAGTACAAAATTCTATTGAAGATTTTCAACTGCACCAGGGGGATCAAGAGGGTGTTGCGAGTTAGTGCACCCTTTCGTTTTTTGTGAAAGGGTGAACTAACCCTTGAAGGGATCACCAGTTCGTGGGAATGAGTAGAGAGAATGCCTTTTTTTGTGTTCATACAGTGATTTTGAAGCACAGGAAGAATCAGGTTTAGAACCCAACTAAACCTCTGCAACTTCTGAACAGTCAAGGCCACATTGCCAGACTAAAGCCTGCGCCGACTGATCCCTTCAAGGGTTAGTTCACCCTTTCACAAAAAACGAAAGGGTGCTCTAACTCACAACACCCTCCTGATCCCCCTGGTGCAGTTGAAAATCTTACTGCACAGCCCCAGGGGCTGTTCAACAATATAAAGCTTACAATGGGGAGCGGTGATTGACAGTGTAGACCACTCTAACCAATGGCAAGTTTTTCTTTCTTCTTGAATACCTTTCTGGAAGTAAAAAAGCTCAGAAGAGAATCTCATTGGTCGGTGCGGTACCGTGGCGGCTCTTACCAATTACCACTTCCCATTGTGGTGTGGAGGATAGACGAGATGGATGCAGCCCATGAACGCAGAAGTAGTTTGTGAGGCAGAGGCATGTTTGTTGCCATTGACTGAGAACTATAAAATCCTCAGTAAAGGAGGACATAGCGAGTGCATGGCATGAACGCTCCCACAAGTGCGCCGACTGTGTGTGCCACAGGCACCTAGTGAAAGTGTGTCACACTGACATTTAAAAATTACATAGCTGAAAATTAAGATCATTATCCTTGTGGTAAAGCTCTGTGAGCCAAGTATGCTGTATTAGAACAAGAGATGTATGAGATGTATTAATTCCAATTCCATTGTTCATGATCCTTGGCGGCTCTTACCAGGAGGTTAAAAACAGATGGGAATAAAGCTCTTCCCACAGCAAAATTATCTAGAGCCCAAGGAGGCTTGACAACTGCTACCGCAAGTTATTCTCCTTCCTTCCATGGGCAAGGACAAATTTGAAAAGAACAGAGGTTACATAAAATGATGCTATAAATTACATAATTATTGCAATTTTGCACTGAAGTCCAGGAACACAATGCAGTTTAACTGTTTACATAAGCACAAATAAGGGCTTTTCTGCCTTTTAACTCGGACGTCATGAACCCATATAGGAGTACGGAGGTGATCATCTTACAGAGAACAAGGGGAAACACCTGAAAACTGGTTAAAAAAAAAGGATGTCAGCCATGCAAATCTCTGTATACTGAACTGTATATATTTGTTGATATCTTGAAAAAGGTATCCACATTTACAACCTCTACATAAATTAATTAAGGCTTTGGAAAAGTGACTAGTCTGGTTGACAATACTGTGACTATTCTGCTCTTAGAAAGTGGCCATTAAGAATTCTGGTCAGAAGATTTGAATACATTAGTTTAATATGGGGTGGTCATTCCTGATACAAATAAGGGAGGGGAAAAAGAACAGCTGCAGAATCCTGGCAACTATTTACCAAAAGACCCTGAGTATACGAGTATATGAGCCATCAAGCATAATCAAAGGCTCAAATCCCTGTTGTCCCTTCCCGGAAAGTTTTTGACCAGCACCTACTGTAATTTCAACTATGTCCAACTGCTTTCAAATTACAGGATGACCAATAGGATATTTAGACCTATGTTAACATTTTAGATGCAATGTGTAAGTAAAATGCAACAAAGGGGCTTTAACACACATTTTAAATCTATCCATCTAGACCTTGAGATTTATGTAGAAATACGGTTGATATACAGTATATCTTGAAATACCTATACAAGTACAAAAAAAATGATGTGTTTATGTAACTTTTGCTGTGTGGGCTCATACATATTCTCGCCTATCTGAAGGCAAGAACAGCTTAAAGTGCATGTGAATCCTAACAATAACCTTCTCTTATTTTCTCCCTCCTGGTCTGTTAAATATACTTTTGAAACTGTTTTGTTGTATTGTTAAAATAACTGCAAAAAGAAAAAAAAACCTGTTAATTCTAGCAGAAATCTTGTGAGCTCATAACTTCCTGAGCACAAGAAGATGTTTTGGAGATGAGGGGGAATGACACATTGATAAAGCACAGCACTGTGCTTAATGCTTCACTTGCTTTGGGACTCTATAGCAAGTAGAGACTCACTCGTTTTCATAAATTGGGAAAGTTGCCAGGAGGAAGAAAAGTCTGTTTCAAATAGGCCCCTTACTGTTTACTGGGTCTCCATTTAACTGCGCCCCCTGTATACTGGGTCTTCATTTAACTGCGCCCCCTGTATACTGGGTCTCCATTCAATTGCGCCCCCTGTATACTGGGTCTCCATTTAACTGCGCCCCCTGTTTACTGGGTCTCCATTTAACTGTGCCCCCTGTTTACTGGGTCTCCATTTAACTGCGCCCCCTGTATACTGGGGCTCCATTCAATTGTGCCCCCTGTTTACTGGGGCTCCATTTAACTGCGCCCCCTGTTTACTGGGTCTCCATTTAACTGCGCCCCGTTTACTGGGTCTCCATTCAATTGCGCCCCCTGTTTACTAGGTCTGCATTTAACTGCGCCCCCTGTTTACTGGGTCTCCATGTAAAAGTAGAAGCCTCACAACATCAGAAACAAACATATTTGTGAACAGGTTAAGTCTAGAGCTCTAAACAGCTTTTACATTAGAAAGTATAAAAAAGCTTTTATTCAGGCCAAAATATACACTATATTGCCAAAAGTATTGGGACACCTGCCTTTACACGCACATGAACTATAACTTTGCAGCTATAACAGCTTCAACTCTTCTGGGAAGGCGTCCGCAAGGGTTAGGAGTGTGTCTATGGGAATGTTTGACCATTCTTCCAGAAGCGCATTTGTGAGGTCAGGTACTGATGTTGGACGAGAAGGCCTGGCTCGCAGTCTCCGCTCTACTTCATCCCAAAGGTGTTCTATCGGGTTGAGGTCAGGACTCGTTGCAGGCCAGTTAAGTTCCTCCACCCCAAACTCACTCATCCATGTCTTTATGGACCTCACTTTGTGCACTGGTGTGCAGTCATGTTGGAACAGGAAGGGGCCATCCCCAAACTGTTCCCACAAAGTTGGGAGCATGAAATTGTCCAAAATGTCTTGGTATGCTGATACCTTAAGAGTTCCCTTCACTGGAACTAAGGGGCCAAGCCCAACCCCTGAAAAACAATCCTACACCATAATCCCCCCTCCACCAAACTTTACACTTGGGACAATGCAGTCAGGCAAGTACCATTCTCCTGGCAACAGCCAAACCCAGACACGTCCATTGAATTGCCAAACAGAGGCGCGTGATCCGTCACTCCAGAGAACACGTCTCCACTTCTCTAGAGTCCAGTGGCGGCGTGCTTTACACCACTGCATCCGACGCTTTGCATTGCACTTGGTGATGTAAGGCTTGGATGCAGCTGCTCGGCCATGGAAACCCATTCCATGAAGCTCTCTACGCACTGTTGTTGTGCCAATCTGAAGGACACACGAAGTTTGGAGGTCTGTAGCTATTAACTCTACAGACAGTTGGCGACTTCTGCGCACTTTAACATGCGATGACCCCGCTGGCCTACCACTTCGTGGCTGAGTTGCTGTTGTTCCCAGTTGCTTCCACTTTGTTATAATACCACTAACAGGTGACCATGGAATATTTAGTAGCAAGGAAATGTCACGGATGGACTTATTGCACAGGTGGCAACCTATCACGGTACCACGCTTGAATTCACTGAGCTCCTGAGAGCGACCCATTCTTTCACAAATGTTTGTAGGAGCGTCTGCATGCCTAGGTGCTTGATTTTATACACCTGTGGCCATGGAGGCGATTGGAACATTTGAATCCAATGATTTGAAGGGGTGTCCCAATACTTTTGGCAATATAGTGTATATGCACATACAAAAGCAATAAACGTGAAAAATAGAGTAGCAACTCACTTGTCTTGATAAGCTCATTAATCAGTTCCTCCTTCAATTTGATATTAATTGTCAATTCTCTCATCTTCTGTTTTGCATCAGCAAGCCGAAGTTCAGATGTTTTAAGTTTTTTTAAATGAAGACTTTGGCTTTCCCGCACTGATTCCACAATAGTTTCTAGAACAAAGCATGTTGAAAATCAATTATAGCTAAAGAAAAGTAGTATGTACATACAATCGCCGATACAAATATACAGATAATTACCCAATTCTTCATTGTTGGAAGAGGTCTGTACAGCACCATTATTCAGCTCTCCAATCTCAGGAGCATATCTTTGCGTCCATGTGCGATTGATGGACCGTCTGCAAGAAGAAAAAAAATACACTTTTATGTACGCTGCAGACGGCTACATGTTAGGCATTCTTCTCTACAGAAAATCAAATATCTAAGTTGTGTACAGTAAATGGCAAACTGTGCTGCAAAAAGCAATAAGTCATGCTTTAGGTTATATCATTTCATGATGCACTTATGTACTGTATATGTCTATCATGTATACATTACAATATAGAATATTTATTATGTAAAATGCAATATATATATATAAAAAATGTTATTCTTGTGTTGCATTTCTCCCCACCCCTGCTGCAGGGCAGAAATGTGTTGCTGTTCTGCTTTTCTCTTATCAGAGTAAACAATGATGTCTCCGATATTGAGGTCTAATGCTAAAGTTAGATTGGCAATGCAAATTTCAGACGGTTCTTGCCACTGTCGGCACCCTTTCAGCTGGCATCCCTCGATCAGCTGATCGAAGGAGTCGGTCAGAAAATCTTCTACTAAACAAAAGCTAGCAGACAATCAGCTGCCAGCCCTGTTCGTGTAATACAATGAAGACACCCTAGCTGAGCTGCAGATTTGTTTTTTACCAACAGGGGTTACTTTTTTTTAAAATTTAACTCCCTCATAACGGTGATGTTTAAAGTATGTTGCCGTCACCAAGCGTGACACTTAGTGACAATGACATTGTATGCCAGGTGACCAATATTAGCTTTTAAAGATGAAAAATTAAAATGTTTTAGGCTGAGAAGTACAGAAAATGTTCTGAAATCCTAGGGATGTGAGGCGTTTCCAAATAAAGGACAAACAAATGCATTTATTTTAATGCGTTTTTTTTTATTATTAGCTGTGCTATTTCTAAAAAAAATAATAATAATCAAAACTGGAGAAAACTGTTTTTCTTTACATGTTCTCCTAATTTATTTTTAATATTTTATTCGTCCTAAGTGAGGCTTTAGGCACACATATGCGATAAAGCCCTATCTGTGCTCTAAAAAACAATATACAATACGTGTGGGTGCACTTTGTAAGAAAGTATATTACTGCTGTGGAAGAATCACACAGCAAAAATGTAAAAAGTGTGTCAGTCATTAACAAACCGAAACTAAAAACAAGCTCAGTCATGAAAGGGTTAAAGCGGACAGCCGTGTGTCGCTGTTATACAGTTATGTATTACGCAGCCTCTTAGACTTTTCTATTTGTAAAATAGAATAAATCAGTACCTAAATGGAGATTTCGTTGCATTTCTTTCTGCTTTTGCTTCTCCCTTGGCGCTATGGTCTGGGAAATTTTCATGGCAAACCTCATCCTGCTCTTCTCTTAAATCCGAAAGCATCTGACTGCGAGTTCGAAACCCAGCCGCTACTCGTTCCAAAGAGTATGAGGGAGGACTGGTACGCACCTAAAAAAGCAAAACGGATACATCAGAATAGGTGAAGACTGTTGGAAATACAACAGCATATTACTGACATTCTGATGTAAAATGTCTTTTGAGCAGTAGATGGCGCTGTAGTGCAATGATACTCTCCATTTGCATGCTTATCTGTGATACACAGGAAGCTGTTTTTTTCTATCTATATGTTTTCCTCACAATGCTGTATTCAAATGTAATATTCTTCTAAGCAAGTAAAACTTATTTCAGCATTCCTCAAGATCTCAGTGCTTCACCTAAAACACATCCAACAGAGACTTCACTCCCTTTTTTAGTGTTTAAATTTATGAAGCAAAAAAGCAGTGTTATAAGTCTTTGGCAGAAGATTGCTCGGAGTTTAACCAGTTGACATCCGCGGTTGGCGGGCTATGGACCCGCTGATCGCCTATATGTGAAACACCCGGTAACGGGTGTGTGCAACGGTCGGGTCTTTTCTGCCCGTGCGTGCCCGCAGATGTAGCAGTGCCGTCCGTCCGTTTTTTTACTACGGGCGGACGGCAAGAGGTTAATAGAAAGTATTTTATTGTAAACCAGTTTGTTGCCTAAGCCAACACTCTTGTTTGATTGGTTGACTAGATTCAGACTTTAAGATTTTTAAAATAAATGTACTCTACTGTCTTGTGTGATGAGATAAATGCCTTAGATCAGGTATATAAAACTGGTGTGTTTTTTGGGCTGTATGCAGCTCTCCAACTGCTTCCCTCCATTTTCTTCCCCTAGTGATGAAAAAAAGTAAATGAGATGAGACACAGCTGCCCCCAATCTACACCCACCCTCTACATTTTCTTACAATATTGTGCAGCTCTATACTTTTGGACATGTTTTATGGCCCCTTTCTCTGTGTCAGGCTGCCTGTGTTGCTGGCTGCAGCCCTGTCTGGTGAGGGTTAATTATCCTGTCTCTGCGTGCCCCGCTGGCTGCAGCACTAGCCTAGTCAGCTGTGGCCTAATAAATCTGACCATACACCTAAAGCTCTGGGATTGGCCTTGTCTCTGGTGGATCCCTATTTAAGCATCATCAACCTGTGCCTCTTTGCTACACAAGCCGTGCTCTGTCTCAGCATATCCAGTCCCTGGAAATCTCCTTGTCCGTCTCTGGTTCTGACCTTGGCCTGCCCTTGGATTATGCTTTGCCCGCTGCCAGCCCTGACCTCAGCCTGTGCCCAGATTACTCTTGCCAACCGCCTGCCCTCAGCCTGTGCGCGGATTACCCTTTGCCAGCCTTTGACCTCAGCTCGTCCCTGGATAACTCTTCGGTTGTGTTTTCAGTCTGTATCTCTGCTTGGTACCTGGTTCCACCCTGTGGCATCGCTCAGTCAGAGCATATAGTCTAAGTCCTGGGGGCATCCAGGTACGGGAAGGCGCACTTGCCTTATAGAAACGGTGGCTGCTATAGGTGAAACAACTCATCACTATTTGCTCTGACCGTGTGCGTCCGCAGCCATTCCTGACACTACGGGATACAATGTTGTAAGTTGCAATGGTTACTATACCATTAAAGTAGATGTGTTTATAAAGCTTGCTAAAGCACTTTGTATTCTAAAACAACTGTTCTATTTTTTTTTTTTTTTTTTAAATACTGCCTTTTTTCCATGCGTTTTTTTAAATCTCAATCCTGCTGATCTATTCCAGCCATTTCATTGAAATAGCAGCCATTTCATGTATATATGCATGCTCCCAGGTTGGCTGCACATCATTGCTAAGTACACCCTTCATTACAGTGATAACAGTGGAACCCGTCTGTGCAATGTGTGTCTTGACAGCTGCTTGTAGTTTAAATAGTTGGGAGACAGTTATCATAACATAACAGGGGGTGTCTGAAGAACCTTCATGGCAGAATCACCAGGTATTATTTTACTGAAAGCTGTAGATTTAAAAAGATTGAAAACACATTTTTTTACATATATATATATATACACATATACACACACACACATATACATACAGACACACACAATATTGCCAAAAGTATTGGGACACCTCTCCAATGTATTGTATCTAATGGGAAATGTTCAGATGTTCCTTTCGGTCGTGAAGAAACAGTAGAAACAGCTGTGTCTTCAAAATGTAGCTGTATACACCATGAGTTGTAAAGAGGACTCTCCCCAGCCATAGCATCATTCTGTAGACACATCTACACAATAGCATGGAATATATCACCATTATCCATGAAAAAAAAATGAAGTTTATATAAGCATATCCAGAAAGACAAAGCTTTATAGCTTTTAGACTTTATTTTGCACTAGAATTATACAACACATTTATACACAACCAATAAAAAAATTGCCTTAGTGTCACTAACATGGAAGTCCCTTACCTTCCTTGGTTCTGACAGGTGAGCAGACTGCCTGTAGCTTGTTTCCATCATTTCAAATTGATGACTGAGTGGTACACTATAAGGTCTCTTGGATATAACTTCTTGCTCCCTTGCAGAATCTTGTGAAGATACTTTTTGCAACAATTCCACTTTATTCCTCAGTTCATCGATCAGAATTTGTTGCTCCACAAGTTTTTCTGTCTAGTGTATTAAACATAAAATATTATCAAGACACTATATAAAATTACTGGAAAAAAAAGACATTATAAAATATATATAATTTTTTTCTTTATTAATAGAGACTATTAAGGCTCAAACTGGTTTCGCAAATAAGAATCAAAGTTTCCTCATTGCGTATAAAGTATTATTTATAAAGCATTATATATAATGCAATTATTATACCAAAATTATATTCAATTATTCACCTACCGGAAGAACTTTGTTTTGCTTTACAGCGTTTAACAATTATCAAGCCAAACTGATGATATACTGTAAAGATGCATCTTCAGTGTTTATGGGTGCCTTGTGACTTTCACTTCAGGTAAAAAGCTGAACGACTAGATTGCATTTGTTTTTCCCCAGATAATTACTATTATTACTATAATTAGTATCATCATAATCAAGTCTGAAGAGATCATTTCTGCTCCTTTCAACCTCCTACTCCTAGTTTTGTAGACCTCAGATGCAGATATACTTTAATGCGTTCCCCAGACCACATCTTTTTTGACAATTCTTTCTCCCTGCTTGTTGGAACTGTGCAGTTATGTGGCCATATCCTGAGACTGTGACCTTTTTAGGAGACAAAATCATACTTTTGTATGGATCATAACTGTGTGGGCACTGCCAGCAGGGTCAGAATTTTACAGCAAAAGCTGTACACAAAGGCGTGATCTGGTAAAGGCGACCGCTAAAACAAAGTATCTATACCCAAAACTTTATTTAAAGTGACATTAAAGGCTATATTGTTGTCCTTCCTCCCCCCCC